CATCCTCCACACACGCACATGCATCTCTCTTCATGCATGCACCCATGTCTCCCCCTGCCTCCATTGATGAATGCGCATATCCCGGATGAGCCTCACCCACCCTACATGCACAGCAGAGACCTGAAAGTCAGCTGGCCAGCAGGAGGCACGCGCGCATGCACGGTAGAGCTCAGCTGGGCCAATGGCTCACATGCCCGCAGAGAGGCGTCGCGTGCCACCCTTATATCATGTGGGACCAGGTTATTTAAGGGGGCCTCCTGTCGCCAATTATATCTACCCATCCCATCAAGTGCAGCAGAAGGGCATGTTGTGGGTTCCGTTGATCAAGGAGCTTTGTTTAGCAAGAGCCAGAAAGAGTCTTTTTTACTGTTATACCCACCATTTGATACATCATTTCCTCCCACCCAAGGTGAGATTGGTCCCAACTTTTCTGGCCTACCAGAAGAATTCTTAAAACATGGATGTGCATCAGACTTTGGGATCTCATAGAGCCTGTTAAATGGTTACATTGCTACAGTGAATTCTCCTCTGTCTTTTTATTATTGTATTTTAAATGTAGGTTTTCATTGTTTTTAATGGTAGATTATGGTTTTACTTATGTTTAACTATATACAGTATGCCACCGAGAATCATATGCAAGTGAGATGGGCAGTCATATAAATTTAATAAATGAATAAAATCAATATATAATTAAACTACCCAAACTTAATTGGATTATAATTAACATTTCATAAATGTTGTTTCTTTATGGCTTTCTAGTATGCCAGTCATATGGATGAAACTCCAGCATATTATGGTGGAAGACATAATTGTTGGAGAAGGCTGACGTTGGAAAATTGGCCTAGAGCAATGATAGTGTATGACATCATGGATTATGCACAGTCTGGGAAGCTGTCTGCTAGACTTAGAGCTGAACTTCCATTTCTATTGCTGAAACCACAGAACGAAGAGACATGTCGTGCTCAAATCTTGGCTGTTTGTCAAATTAGGTAAATAATGTCAATTGTCACCAAATTTGATTACTAACTTTCTTTGGAATGTCTTTCTTCCCTTTTACTTTTATTTGTTAAAAGACAAATAAGAATTAATGCCAAGAGAAATGTCATATTTGTAACTACAATATTCTGTATTTTTCAGACTGTAAGATTCACTTTCACCCCCCCCCCCAAAAAAAAAATGGGTGGAAATGTCAGTGCATTTTATAGAATGAATGTTGCCAAAGCCCTGCCCACCCATCTGCCCCCATCCTTCGGCCTCTGCCTTCCAGCAATATGTCTCCTTGCAGCAAACAGCCTGGTCAGCTTCAGCACAGCCTGATTTAGCACAAGCAGCTGATTGGCGGTTGGATCTGTCTCCCGGAATATCACCAATCAGCTTTTCCAGGCTTCAGGGATCACCACCGCCCATCTGTGCCATTGCAATTGGCGCTGCCACCTATCGCCATTTTTGGCCTCCATGTGTCCCATTTTCAGCTATGTGTCCCATTTCCAGGTGGCAGAGATATACCAATGGGTGCCAGCAATCCCTGCAGCCTGGAAAAACTGATTGGTGGTATTCTGGGAGGCAGATCCAACCGCCAATCAGCTGCTCGTACTAAATCAGACTATGCTGACCTCGCTGTTTGCTGTTTGCTGTAAGGAGGCAAATTGCTGGGTGGTAGAGGCAGATTTTTTTTCTTGTTTTCCTCTGCAAAAGCAAGGTGTATCTTATAGTCTGGAGCATCAAACATCAGTTTGCCTACAGGGGGAATAGGTCGACAGACGACGCCACAGGACTATGTGCTCAGTCCCTACCTGTATTCACTGTACACATATGATTGTGTATCATCTGACCCATCCCCTGTGATCATTATGTTCGCAGATGATACCACTGTATTGGGTCTTATTACAGGTGGAGGTGAAACAGCATACAGGGGGGAGGTTCAAAAACTATCCACATGGCACTTTCAAAACAACCTGCATCTGAACATCAGCAAGACAAAGGAGATGGTGTTAGACTTCCGGAAGAAGAGTGAGAAACCTTCCCCACTTTACATTGAGGGGGGCTGTGGAGAGAGTTTCCTCCTTTAAATTCCTGGGAGTCTATCTCAGTGAAGAACTTATCTGGAAAATCAACCTGACCCAGCTGGCCAGAAAGGCCCAACAGAGACTCCACTTCCTTAGGTTCTTGCGGGGAAAAAAAGTGAAACAACAACTGATGACCTCTACTGCTCCACAAAAGAAAGCATTCTAACTCATTGCATTATGGTGTGGTATGCTGACTTGACAGCCGCGGATAGAAACACACTACAGAGGGTGGTGAGCACAGCACAAAACATTATGGGCTGTCCCTTGATACCACTAGACGACATCGCTAGGGCTTGCTGCCTTAGAAGAGTGCGGAAAATCATCAGGGACAACTAACATCCTGGTCAGCCCTTCTTTATTCTCCTACCATCTAGAAGGAGATATAGACGCATAGGCAGCCGCGAAAACAGGCAGAAGAACAGTTTTTATCTGTGGGCTCTCAGACTCCTGAATGAAAAATAACTATAACATAGTACAATTGACTTGCGAAGCTGGCACAACATGCAATAAGTTCATATGGTACAATAGGACTGGGTGTTAGTAGGATTCACTGGGCTAGGAATTTTTTGTCTTTCACTGTGAGTTGTATTGTGTTGGAGGGAGTGCACAAAGGGAGGCTCAGCCAATCTCATTGTACACATATTGTACTCTGACAATAAAGGTTTGAAGTGAATTGAAGGTTCCCATACCTCCATGGCCTAAGGCTCAACAACAAAATCAGATCTTCAAGACTCTACACAGGCCAGCAGAGTAAATTTGGTCTAGAGGAATAATGCCAGATTTAACAGGATGGAAAGATAACCCACAGTACCTCAAACATAGAAACTCATTGGTACAGAATGCCATTTCATCTAAACCAGGGGTGGGTTTCAATTTTTTTACTACCAGTTCTGTGGGTGTGGCTTGTGTGGTGGGCGTGGCTTGTTGGTCTTGTGACTGGTTGATCATGGGACTGGGTGAGTATAGCTGGTTGGTCATGGGACTGGGTGGGCGTGGGCAACTTGATGTCACTCACGTCAAGGGGCACCTTGCCTGGCCTCCTTTTGCCTCAAAGGCCTCAACAAGATACAATTTCTCTGTCTATTTATTTACTACTTCTGAACATCCAAAATATACTATTTAATTCTATGTATATATGCCATACGTGTACATACATATTACATAGTATATAGTGTATATAGGCATACAAAAAGATACATTATCTACTATATATACTGTATGTGTATGAAAACACACACACACAATCATTAATATACTTTACATATCTAAATAAACCCTAAACTCTCATTCAACCTCCAAGACCTTCTTGCCTGCACTACCCTTCCCTATTCCATCCAAACTGAGTTATGGTCCAAAAAGACCCTCGCCGCAATCTTTGTCTTCTTCACCCTAGAAAATAAGTCATTAGCGATTTATATAAAGTCACTCCTTAAAGGGGATTGATGTCCATCAGAGAAAGGGGTGAAGTCGCGCGCCTCTGCATTTCGAAGTTGTCCATCAAGTCTTTTTCCCTTCTAGAATTAAGTCAAATGCGATATGTCTTCCAAAGGGATCTGCTTCAAATAATTCAGCCT